CTAGCCAATCACAACATCAGAACTCTAAGCACGTGAGAGAGAGTGGGAACCTCCCAGAACATTGTATTATGCCACGCCCAACAGAAATAACCCAGGTGGATAGCTCCTCAGTTGCTCATAGAAAATCCCACCTTGGAGTTTACAAAGACTTATGGGTAGAAAAGCCACACTAAGTAATTTACTACACTGCAGGATGGCCAATTGATTTTTGACAAAGGTGCCAAGGAGATTGAGGGAAAGGATAGATTTTTTTTTTTTAAAACAAATGGTGTGAGACAGTTGGACATCCACATGCAAAACGATGAATTTTGACCCTTACTTTATACAAAAATTATACCTCATATACAAAAATTAACTCAAAGTGAACCATAGGCTTAAGGGTAAGAACTAAAACAATAAAAAATTTAGGTGAAAACGTAGGAGAAAATCTTTGAGACCTCAGGTTAGGCAAAATTTCTTAGATATGACACCAAAAGCATGGTTCGTTTATAAAAGAAGAAAATCGATAAGTTGAACCTCATCAAAATCCAAAATGTTTGCACTTCAAAATACAACATTAAGAAAATTAAAATATAAGCAGAAGATAGAAAGAAAGTATTTGCAAAACATGTATCTGATAAAGGACTTCTATCCAGATTATATACTAATTCACCTCAATAATTAGACAAACAATTCATTAAAAATGGACAAAAGATTTCAATATATATTAAATGTGTAGAAAAGGCAAATATATGGAGGCAGAAGGTAGAGTAGTGGTTGCCTGGTGTGTGGGTTGAATGCAGAAGGAGGGATTAACAGTAAATAGGCATTTTATTGGGGTGATGAAAATGTTCTAGGCTGTTTTATGATAATGGATGCACAACTTGATAAAACTACTAAAAAAATCATTGAATTTTACACTTGAAATAGATGAAATATGCTCTGATAAAGTAGGAGAGAAAGAGAGACAGAAAGATGGAGAATAAGGCTGGGACCAGGGTGTTTGGATCTGGAACCTGGCTCTGCTACTAGCTAGCTGTGTCCTCTCAGGCAAGCCTAACCTCTCTGGCTCAGTTTCCTGTTAATATAATTAGGGAAAATAATCAGTTACTACTCTAGAGGAGGAATCCCTGGGTGATGTGAACAGTTAATACTCTTCTCTGTTAACAAAAAGGTTGGGGTTTTGAGTTCACCCAGAAGCACCCGAGAAGAAAGGCCTGGTGTGATCTCTCTCTGAAGAATCAGCTGCTGAAAACTCTATGGAACCCAGTTCTACTCTGACACACATGGGCTTGTCATGAGTTGGAATCAAACTCACTGGCAACTAATCTGTGATTTATCCTGACATACCTGTTGAGATTGTGATAATACATGAAGACTGCTTAGCACAGAGTTTGGAAGAGAAAAAGAGCTCAGTAAATCTCAGCAACAGTAATAATAGCAGTTATTATTGGTAGCAGTACTTAACCCTAACGGCACAGTGGTTAAGCACTCAGCTACTAACTAAAAGCTTGACAGTTCAAACCCACCAGCTGCTCAGCCTCAGAAAGATGTGGTAGTCTGCTTTCATAAAGATTGAAAAAAAAAACCAAAGCAAACCCACTGCCATTGAGTTGATTCCAACTCACAGTGACTCCCATTGAGTTTCCAAGGCTATATACATCTTTATGGAAGTAGGTTGCCTCATCCTCATCCTGTGGAGCAGCTGGTGGGTTTGAACCACCAATGTTCTGGTTAGCAGCCAATTGCCTTACCCACTATGCCATCAGAGCTCCTTTCCATAAAGATTATAGCCTTGGAAGTCTTATGGAGTAGTTCTACTCTGTCCTATAGGGTTGCTATGAGTCAGAATCAACTTCATGGCAGTGGGTTATTTAACTACTGAGGATTCAACTCTGTAGTTTAACTTAAGCCAGATGTTGGAGAAGGATTTGCCTGTTGGCTTGTCCTTGCCAGAGGGCAGTGACTGGTCCTGTTGCAGTGTCTCTTGGGAAACCTGAAAGCCTTAAGCACATGGCTTGTCAGCCATGTGCAGAGTAGGTCACTGGAACAAAGGAGCCTCCTGGGTGAGGACTGCTTCTTCATGGCAGCATCACTAATGGAGGCATCATCCTGCTGTCCATAAATGTGGGCACAAGCGATATTTCAACCCTCGTCCAGCAAGCATTTAGGTTACCCAGTACATGTTAGACCTACTGGGAAGAGTAACACAGAGGCACAGAGGAGAGACTCCTAACCTTGTCTATGAGGCTTTCTAGAGGAAATGATATCTCAGTGGGCCTTTTGGGTCTTTGGAGATTACCGGATGAAGAGGTGAAGAAAGTCACCCAGACAACAGGAACAGCTTGGGTCAAGCCCCAGGGGCAATCAGGAGCTTGCTAGAGTAGAACGACAAGAAACAAAGCTTGAGGTGAGGTGGAAGGGTTCTGATCGTTTAGGGAACCATATGGTAAGAGGAAGCCAGTCCACGTAAGACCACCCTCATTTCTAACACCAATTACCAGTTTGGGAGATTCCAAAACCACCCTCAGGTTTAAGAATTCACTAGAAGGACTCAGAGACCGCACTGCAAGCTGTCATACTCAAGTTTATGGCTTATTACCGGGAAAAACGATGTAGTTTAATACCAGCCAAGGGAAAAAGCTTATAGGCAAAGTCCGGGAAAATTTCCCAGTGCAAAATCCTATTCTCTTCTCCTTCCAGAGTCATGAACAGTGTTATTTTTCTGGTATCAATGTATGACAACACACACGGAGTGTTGCCGACCCAGGCAGCTCACTCAAGCCTCAGTGTCCAGAGTGTCTATCGAGGCTCCATCATGTAGTCCCGCCACATGGCAGATCTCAGTCTCCAGGCCCTCTGAAAGATGACTGGTACCACAAAGTCTTCACTCTAAGCCACCTTGTTAGTATTTCTGGAGAGGCCAGCCCCCACTTTCAGACCATCTACACCCCAGGTCATAGAGTTAGACTATCTGGTGACCCCAGGTTCCCAGGCAAACAAAGGTGTGCCTATCCAGAGGGTCATCTTCCAGAAGCCAATGACAAAAAAGCCAGACCTAGCTTTGAACACGGTTGTATTCTTTACTATACAGGGTCTGTGTGCCTTGATAAAGAACTTGGATCTATCCCACGGGCAATGAGGAGTCAGTGAAGAGGATAATGGTGTCTGTCATCTTCAATTGGATGGTTCCAAATGGCACCTACGTCCCACACCTTGAGAGATCCTGTTCTGTTGATCAGAAGCAAATAAATGTCCTCCTAGATATTTGTGGCTTGGGTTTTGCATTTAGTGTACTCTGGTGCAAGTGTTCTGCCTAGATCCACATCCCACTAGCAGTCTGGCTGAAAAAAGAAAAACCGTTTTGTGACTCTCATGAGGGTATAAAAGGCATAAAGTGATGGCTGAGAGCCTGTGTGCAGAGCCAGCACTCAGGAAAGCAGAGGACTTGTAAATGTTTAATAAACTTCACTCTGGGTGTTCACTCTGGCTGAGAGCCCATTAATAAGCCGGAGCAGCTGAGGGGCAGGTATTGTGCCTGTTACTATAGCATCATCTTGGAAAGGATCCCTCAGTGAGAGCCACAACTATAGGGCAGGAGGGAGCTGTGGTCAGAGTGACAGGAGGGACTGGAGACAGGCCACAGATGTTAGTGCTGGTCTTGGGACTCCTTGTGGGCTGGAATCCGCTTTAGCTTCTCCAGCTGCAGCCCCTGGGAGGAAGAGAGGCTGTGTGTGCTCAGTCTGAGAGTGGCTGCCTGAGACAGCGGCCACAGGCTGCTGCTGAGCCTGTAGCTTGTTCAGGGGCTGAGTTTCCTGCCAGATATCCCTTGGGTTTTTTTTTTTTTTTTTTTTTTTTTTAAAAAATGGGAATTTTTTTTTCCTTTTTGGAAGGCTGCTGGTGGTGGTGGTACCATCTCATCTTGAAAGATCTGAACTGAATCTCGTCTCCTTTTTGATCTTAAGTTGTTACCTCCGTGAGAACTGACTTTAAGGTGTTCAGCAAGGCAAACAGAGTGGTCCCCATGCTGCAAAGGAGAAAGGATGACAGTTTCTGAGACTGACTCTTAACAACTCCAAGGTGCCCAGGTTCAAAATGCCTTTTAAAGCATTTGATACCTTCAAAGAAAAATTTGTGAAACCTGGAAAGGAAGGAGTGAAGAACGCCGTGGGAGATTCATTGGGGATTTTGCAAAGGTAAAGTTGGAAGGCAAACTTTGGGTTTATTTCTGTTGTCAATATTTGCGAGATTTTGTGTCCTGCTTTTAAAAATGCCATTTTAATGAGGAGGTGGGTCAAGCCCCTTCTAACTCCAACAATCTATGCCTGTAGGAAAGATACATCAAGAGTATAGGGTTGAATTACGAAATACCAAGACAAGGCTTCAGCTTAGTGAGAAAGGTTAGCACTCACTGGTGATAGTTATATTGCATATACTGTGCTCAGCATTAATTAGAACACATTTAAGAAGGTGATCCTTCATGTTAATTCAATCGTAATGACAAATACAACCAGGCTTTGACTGAAATAATTGTGAGTTTTTCACTTTATTTTAAACTATAAATTAAAATGAAATATTTGCAAAAAAATTAGCTTGTTATATAAAACTATATAAACTGCTTCCTGATTTGTGTGATTTTAAAAAATCAGGGTAATTACAAACTAGGTTGAAGAAGGTAACTTAAAAAAATCAATATTCTTTAAAGCAGAAAATCTCACCTGGTTACAGTGGAAAAATGTAAAATACTATCAATGAATTGAGGGAGATTCATGTCCAAACCAAAAAATAAATCTTTTTCTTTTTCTTTTTTTTTTAAGTAAGACATGTTATTATTGAAAGGAATTTGCCATATGAATGAATTGGTGTGACATTGAAATTTGTGAATTTTTATAAACACAGTAAGTGACTTTTTAGATTTCATAGATTAATTAAAAAGTGGCTTTTATGTACAAGGTAAAATGACTCCTATCTGTTATAAATAAATGTGAAAAATATACTTGCTAAGCTTTTTATGCATTTGAATGATTATGTCTAATCCTAGTGAGTGAAAAAGCCATCTGACATCTCCTTTAATATTTCTATGCATGTCATCTCTTAAATTTTAAAACTTTTGCAGTTAAAAGACTATCTTTAGGCAAACTGAGACCCATTCCACTTCTTGTTTATAACATACATGCTCCTGTCAGTGTTAAATTATCAGTTGCATCACTTGCAATGAGCTTTCATAATAAGAGAATTGGAATGGACACTTTATTAATTTAGTAATCCAATCAGCCCTACATAAATTGTCATGTATAAATTAAATCCTAGCTCAGTGGTACCAGACTAAGCATAAGAGGTGATTATAATAACTTTTTCTTTCAAGATCATTCATAGATCGGTTGAGCAGTCCCCCATAATGTCTTATTGTGGTCCTGCTCATCTGATTAAAAATGCAAAAGAAAGCACAATGGCTTAATTGACTCATTCAAGTGATGATAAGGAAATCTGAGAAAGTCAGATGAAGCTGTAGATAAAAACCATGACTTTAGACCATACTCATCATTATAATCACCAAACTGCCTTATTTGACTACATATATATTTGATTATTCATATATATATTCATATATATATGAAGGAGCCGTGGTAGTGCAGTGGTTAAAGCGCTCAGCTGCTATTCAAGAGTTCTCCAGTTTAAACCCACAAGTGGCTTCACTGGAAAACGATATGGCAGTCTGCCTCTGTAAAGATTTGCAGCCTTGGAAACTGTGCAGCAGTTCTAATCTGTCTTGTAGGGTTGCTATGAGTCTGAATGGACTTGACATCAGTGGGTTTGGTTTTGGCTTTGCTATACATATATTTGACAAAAAAAGTTGAGAATTTTCTTTTCAAAGCCTAAGTTTAATATATATATATATTTAGATGTAATTCCTTTTTTCAATAAGAGACATATCCTAAAAGCTGATTTTGCTGTATTTGAATTCATCTGCTTGAAGATCCTTTCTTTTATCAAAGGATTGGTTTGCTTTGGGAGCTCTGGTAGCATAGTGGCTAAGGCACTTGACTGCTAACCATAAGGCTGGCTGTTCAAACCCACCAGCCACTCCTCGGAAGGAAGATGGGGCAATCTACTTCTGTAGTGATACTGCCTCAGAAACCCAAGGAGGGGTCGCTATGAGTCGGGTCTGACTCAACGGCACATAACAACAACAAATAAGAAAATTAGTAATTTCCAAGTTAAAAATTGAGCTGTGTGTCTCAGACCCTTTGAACAGTTTCCTCAGAATTGTATCACAGGGCCATAGAGAAACTGCTGATACAATGTTTGAGATGTAGAACTCATTAAATAAATAGCAAGAAGCCCTGCAATTGTTAACAGCTCAGCTGCTAACTGAAAGGACCACACTTCAAACCCACCCAGCTGCTCCGTGGGGGAAAAGACTAGGTGATCTGCTCCCATAAAGATTATTGTTGTTGTTGTTGTCATGTGTCATCGAGTTGGACCCGACTCATAGCGACCCCTCCTTGGGTTTCCGAGGCGGTATCACTATGGAAGTAGATTGCCCAATCTTCCTTCCGAGGAGTGGCTGGTGAGTTTGAACCACCAGCCTTCTGGTTAGCAGTCGAGTGCCTTAGGCACTATACTACCAGAGCTCCTAAATAAATTTTAGATTAAATAAATTAAATTTAAAAGATTAAATAAATTTATTGCATTTAAAGGGTCTTGCCCAAAACCTGAGCATTTTTGATGCCATTCTCTCACCTTAAGGAGCTCTGGTAGCACAGTGCCTAAGGTATCTGATTGCTAACCAGAAGATTGATGGTTCAAACCCACCAGCCACTCCACTGAAGCAAACCTGAGCAATCTACTGCCATAAAGAGTTATTGCCTTGAAAACCCATTGGGGGTTGCTGTGAGTTGGATTTGACTCAATGGTAGTGGGTTTGTTTTTTGGTTTAGTCTCTCATCTTGTTGATTTCCATATAGAACCAGTTGACAGAATCCATTTTTTTTTTTTTTTTTTAAATCACAAAGAAATGTTTTCTGTTTTATAAGCGACAAGAGCATGCAGAAGGTATGGGTCCTGCTCCTTTCTCACTTAACTGGCAGTGTAAATCATAGAGATCTAACAGCGTTGGAGACTGAGATCATCATCTAAATGGAATTCTTCAGATGCTTTTTAACCAGTGGGTGTTCTTCATGGTGGTGGTAGGGAGTGCCAAATGCATAGGGAAACGTCTGAGAGCTCGCGCATGGGGCTGATTAGAGTCAGGCATTATTAACGTTCTTGGAGTATAGCCATGGATAAAAAGCAATGAACAATTAATCAGGTAAAAGTACAGTAATATTTTAGATGTGTAGAAAGGAAGATATATTCATAATTCACTAGTGGAGCAGATGGCATAGAAAGCATTAAATTTGGGAATAATTGTCCAGAAATTGACATGCAGATTTGTTCATTTTAAATGACAGTGCTTGTCCTCTAATTGCTTATGTGTAATAAAATATTAATGACACTTTATGATGTTTCAGACCCCAAAAAACCTAAACTCACTGTGATTGAGTTGATTCGACTCATAGTGATCCCTCCTTGAGCTTCTGAGGCGGTATCTCTACAGAAGTAGATTGCCTGATCTTCCTTCTGAGGAGTGGCTGATGGGTTTGAACTGCCAGCCTTCTCGTTAGCAGTCAAATGCCTTAGGCACTACACCACCAGAGCTCCCTTATTATGTTCCAGGCACTGCAAATTCATTCAGTTCTCACAGCAGCCCTATAGGATGAATGCTATTATAATGACAACTTTACAGAAAAGGTGGGCTTGAACTGTCAGCCTTCTGGTTCAAATGCCTTAGACACTATGCCACCAGAGCTCCCTTATTATGTTCCAGGCACTGGAAATTCATTCAGTTCTCACAGCACTCCTATGGGATGGATGCTATTATCATCACAACTTTACAGATAAGGGAATTGAGGTACAGAGAAGTTAAATAACTTGCCCAAGGTCACACCACTTGTAAGTGGCAGAGCTGGTTTCCAAACCAGACATTCTATGTGGTTCTTAATGACCGCCCTATGTGCTATACTACCTCTCTGACCAAGTGTCTTTACTCTTCCTACTAGCTTTCTTAAAATTTAACCAGTTATTTAGGTTTAGGAGATTACTTGGGCTGCAATGTAGTCATCAACCTCTGAACTTATGGCAAGTGTATGGGCCTTTCTCCAAATCAGTTGTAGTACTGAAGATTCTCCAAGGCAAAACCAAAAAAACCAAACTCACTGCTGTCAAGTTGGATCCGACACATAGCAACCCCTCCTTGGGTTTCCGAGGTGGTATCACTACGGAAGTAAATTACCCCATCTTCCTTCCAAGGAGTGGCTGGTGGACTTGAATCACCAGGCTTCTGGTTAGCAGTCAAATGCCTTAGGCACTATGCTACCAGAGCAGACTAAGGGGTAATTCTGGTCTCCTTACAAGTATTTATATCTTCCTCTAGAGAGATGCTACGTGCATTGTGTTTGCCTTCAGCATCCAGTAGTTGTGTATTGAATGCTTAAACCAGAGATACACTTCCTGCTACCTCCACAAAGGCGGGTGGATTAGAGTGGGGCTCTGAGATCAGGCAAGCCTGGGTTCCAATTGCTGCACCATTATTTACTTCCTGTCTGCATAACCTTGGCAACTTGGCTCCCACTCTTGCAGCTGGAGTGATTCTATTAAAACAGAGTCAGATCACGTCTCTCCTCTGCTCAAAACTTCCCCACCTCACTCAGAATTGAAGCCAGTGTCCTTGCAATGGCCTTCAAGACCCTCCATGATTTACAGGCCCTTGAGAAAGTCTCTCTGACTTCATCTCTGGCACTCTTTTCCTGTCTCACATCACTCCAGCTACAGTTTTATCAGAACACCTCAGACCCATTCCTTTCTCAGCTTTTGCACCATCTGTTTCTTTTGCCTGACTGTCTTACCCACAAATAATCTAAATGCTCATTCCCATGTTTTCCTTAATTCTCTTCTCAAAGGTCATGTTTCCAGGGAGGACTTTCCTGACCAACCTATTTTAAGATGAAGCTCAACCTCCTTCTACCCACCCTGCTCCTTTGTCTTCACTGCTTTATTTTACTCCACCTCTGTCTTAAATGGGGCTCCTTAAGAAGCAGAGCCTGAGACAGGGATGCGAGTGAGCCTAGGAGTCACTATGAGTTGAAACTAACTC